TTGGGAAAAAATAAACTCATTAAAATCGGTGAGTTTAAAATTAAGAATTAAAATAACCTGGTCAAAAAAATGTACAGGTTTGTTTTGGTAAAAATGGATAAATTCAAATTCGCTAATATAGTATATTCTTAGCGCCAAAATCTACCTGTTACTGTTAATACTTATATGTGTGTATTATTAATACCAATATTTTCCAGTAAAACCTAAATATCATTCTATATGAAAACATTTATTTAAGATGCATTATGTAACATTTAGATAAAGAACTGGTCGTTCTTGCTATAATAGTTTAAAAATAAATAATGAATATATTGAAAAAAAATTCAAATTACTTTATTCTGAGCGAAGTTATCGATGTTTAAAGTTTTGACAAGATACAGCATAGATTGGTTATTATCATAGCAACGGTACTTGACTAAATTATTAAATGGCCACCGCGTTTCAATCCATTTAAATTTCGACCATCCGATGGTAGTTGATTATATTTAAAGGTCATATAACATTTGAAGCCAAAATAAAGACCTGCGATAGGCAGATTTCACAGTAACCATACTTATAGTTAAAGTAGCTAAGTCTCTAATTCAATATCATCAAAAATCTTCGCGTTTAAAACACGAATTATTTGTAAATTAAAATCAACATTGGTCTTGTGATCTTACAGGAAAAAGATGGGCTTCTGATATCCAGTATTCAAGACAAAATAAACATTTTACCATTGGTACACGAATCGTGTACCATAATGCGTTTCAGCGCCATTTGGAACAAGGAACTCAAAGAACAGGGCTAGACACATTCCCCAAGTCATGTCAAATGGTGATGCTATATTCTTATCTGGAGAGCATGCGCAATAAATACCATCCGTGTAGACTGGAAAAACCAGACGCTTAAGATTGCTATTCACGTGAGACTTCCGGCGTATTTCGCCGAACATAACTGATTAGAAATTACAGTAAAAACAGAAGCGATTGAATGTAAATCAGTTTATATACATTCATATTACATTATTCTATGCGTTGCGATCCATTTTTGTCAATTTCTAGGTCCCAAATATTAGCGATTTAGCTCCTTTAAACTATTCGCATTGATAGTTACATTTACAAAAGCTACAGCTGTTACACAGCAGCAGTATGAAACATTATAAATGACAGATTAATCATATGTTATGTATGTCAAAAGACAAAGTTGTTTCAAGTGCTTTCAACTTTCGTATACTTTAAAAGTTAATAATAAGTACATTATTATACATGGGCCTATAAGGTATATGGGTCTATTAAAGTTTTGATAATGATTTCCGAATTTAGCAGTACCATTTAAAACCTATCCTGTATATATCCATTCGTCATGTATAACTGCAAATTGTTTAAGCGACATTTTTAGTAAATAGATAAGAATAACACATGACACAATTATGGAATACAAGTCACTTGAAGAATTTATTTCTTCAAGTAACTTGTATTCCATATAATTGTGTTACGAATAACTACACCTTTCCGTTTCCACCTTGGTGTTTGTACCACACTCTTTAATAATAATTCATTAATTTTTGCAGTTCCATTTAAAACCTATCCTTTTTTAAACTTGTCCCGTATTACCACCTATCCGTTTCCACCGTGGTGCTAGTACCAAATAGTAAGTTTTTTTTAACGGAAACCGATATAATTAACGGAAAACACTTATAATAAGTACTAAGTTTTGTTTGTACTATTAAATTATTAGGTTTATATGAACTTGTAATTTTTGAGAAAAATAAGATAATGGACTGAAATTTTAATGTGAATGTTTAGAATTTGAACTGAAAACCACACCATACAAGAAGCGTATCTTTCTTCCATTTATTTTATCTGGGATTTTTTCCTGGCTTTGTGTTAGATTATTCTGCCGATATTTAGTAATAAATTTGAAATAACAGCTGATTTCGAATACGTTCGTTCATCAATGTCGTTGAAAGAAGTTTGTGCGTATGTGATATACATGTAGTTTTATTTAACGTCCGCTCCCACCGAAGTGATATTTCCGGCAAGTTTGCGGATCTAATTCAGTTTTATAGAATTGTTGTCACCGGTAACAAGATTAACAAAACAATAACTGGAAGACTGGGTGAATTTTTATGATGCATTTGGAGGTGGGAGTGTAAATGAAACTCGCTTTGCACCGTTGTCCAAAATTACTATTTTCGGTGTTTCATTCATATACGTGATTATTATAATTTTCAAAACAATTTGAAAATTTAGGGTTATCGGAAATAATAACTTAATGTTGTTGTGTTAATTTTTTTTCTGCTAACTTGGTTTTTTTTTCTCCATTTTTTTCTGTTAACTTCCTTGCATAATATGATTGGTTGTAATTTCATTTCCGCCACCTACTTTACGGAAATTGTCTGAAAAATAAATTGGTTACAACTTTTATACTCGTTTTATAACCCCATGTACAAGTTTCTAGAATCATATGAAATCGAAATGCAGCCCATTCTTAAATCCAGCTCCACAAACTTAAGCTCATTATTTAGCATTGACGGTTTGTTCGGGACAAACTGCCACGGTTGGACAGGGTACCCAATTTGCTTCGGTTGCATGGGACTTTTGTGAAACCGCAGCAGTTGCGTAATGTTTAATGTTCTTGTTTCACATGGAACCTATTTTCTAACAGTCAAGAAATGATTGATCAGGTTACTTTATTCCATTGTTTTAATGTAACACTCATTATAGTAGACTCCCCCCCCCCCCCCTCAAAAAAAAAAAAAAAATTTAACTTAAATTTCGTGTTGTATTTGTTATTATTTTATATATTTTTCTTTTTTAACACATTGTTGGATCTAGGTGGGTATTTTTTACTATTGTATATTATTTATGCCTACATCTTTTTATGCCTACATCTGCACGTTCTCCTCATGTCCAAAATTTAAATGACTTCATATAAATTGAAATGTTGACAAACATAAACGGCCTTGCTAATCACAGCGCACAAAGTATTGCAAAAGTGACCGACAAGAAAAGATAAGGTGTATCCAAAAATTAAAAAAACATTTCATGAAAAAGTTATAGATTATTGAAATTTTAACAAAAATGGTCTTACTAATTACCGGCAAGAGATGGGTTTTATTTGTCAATTTTACTTATCCGTACATTTTTCAATTTTTCTATGAAATTATTAAAGCTTGGGATATGATGTGTAGAATATGCATATCTGTAATATATATTTTCTTGTCGGTCATTTTTTGCAATGCTTTTGGAGATATTGACAAAAAAACCCGCTCTTTTCGCTCTTGTAGAGCCTGATGGCAAAAATATGCTTATATTAGTCGTTGTGATTTGACGCGATAGAATACTTTTGTAGGCATTTGGTATTTGAAAATAAATCGACAGAAACGATTCTTCCAGGCAGCTCACTATACTATGAGTGAATATATTAGTCTAAATATTTTCCGGAATATTTTGTTAAAACTACATATTACTCAACACCTAAGTAATTAATGTGCTTTCTGGATAACTTCTTCACTTTGTCGGTTAAATTGTGATTCCCCAATTCCTGATGCAATTGTGTTGAAACCATATTATAGAACGTGTGTGTGAAATAGCTTTATTTAACGTCTACATTCAAGGAAGTGATATTGCCGGAAAACCTTTATAGACAAGAAATTGGTTTGAAATAGGTAAATTTGCAATGTAGCTTCAACACTCAATACAATTATTCATTACTCTATATGGTGTTAATTTCTTTTGTTTCTTCTAATTGTCGTTGACGCAAAGTTAAACGTCTCTGTTGACACACCGCTAATTAAGAAATGGCTTAGAAATATCTACTATATAATATTATGAAATTATTATTCAATTATTTTCTCCCTAAGCAATCATTATTTAATTTTGTTCAATTAAGGTATTGATTTTCTGCTGATAAACATCGATTTTTGTCTCCTCGTTATAATGTTATTAAAGTAATTTGGATGTTAAGGGAATCATCAAAGGTTGAAATAGAAGGGCCATTCGGTTTGTATTCTTTGTGGTGATCTGTGCATTTATAAAAAACCTAAATATTCAAGCAGAATAAAAGGAATTTTGAGTCAACAGATGGCGCTACACCTATAGTGGGCGGAGCTTTCTTTTTTCTTTCATATTAACAAATTATTATGATTTGATTTCATCGCTCGGAAGTTTTCTACTTCCTTTAGTAGTAACATAGGATAAGAACAGTTTTAATTTTCTTTTTCACTGCTCCAGTGTAGGGTCAGTTGTTTTCACGAAGATAGCCCGATAACACAGGAAAAATATGAGGAATAAAACATTGTTAGCAGTAATGTTTTTCATTTTTCAATAATCAAAAATATTACATTTATTTGATATTCTGATGATTTTTTATCTCTTGTTTTCTGCTTGTATACGTTTATTTATTAAAGCTCGATCTTTATTCGGGGGCAGTTATTTATTCGCAGTGTATTTTATCAGCAAGGTATTGCGCGTGCAGTATGTTTGTAATTTATAATCTTGTACATAATCCCATAATTATTTGGAAAAAAAATCAGTTACATCTATAAATTTGTGTGAAATAAGTTAGACAGGAATTTTAACACTATCATTTAAGTTAATTAATCATGATATCAGTCTCCCATCTGTTACAATAGAAAAGTCATGAAATGCTAATCCAGTTGTCATAGCAACCCATTGATTCTCTTTTTATGTCCATTCGCCATCTTTGTTCCTTGTTTTGATTATGTTTAAGTCTCGCGTTGAACTAAATGTAATAAACACAACATTTACTTTGATTTTTCTCTATTCTTAACAAATAATTGTTGCTGAAACTGTTCACTTTAATGCAATCAAAACAAATGATCATTAATTAACCCTTGATTAGTCTGTAAAAACGCCATTATACCGACGTGGAACCACTCGCGGTAGAGATGACTCATGCTTTGTATAATTCTCATCTATTTGAAAGAATTTGACTTACATATTTTTAACCCATAGTACTAATACCAGTCTGGCATTAAAGGCATCGCATGATCGGAACGATAAATTGGTATTGTAGAGTCGCCGTGTACATATTCATATCGGATATCGAATGCTGGATAGAACGAAGCCAGAGCTGAGTGAGAAGAACTGCTAGTTCGGCACGCTGCTGCTCAATAATGGCACACAGGAAGCTGGCTTTATTTAGAAAAACCCAGCTGTTGAGTTTATACTAGCAAGCAGTCTGGTTGGTTTTCAAGAGCTTGGAGTATGGAAGGAAGGATGTTTGTCTTTTGTAAATGTTAGGCTTGCTTAATCCAGTAGCTCCATAAAAGTGTCGAATGTAATTTCACTGGTAGTAAGCTATATCGAGTGTAAGTGAAATATCGAAGACTGGATAATTCGTTCGTTAAGCCTATGCGTAGTTGTATAATGGGATAGTACACTCTTAAATTTTCTTTATTGATATCATGCCTAGGTACTAGTAGTGTAATGACTGTGTTAGTAGTTTATTAGTCAGTGTGTGCCAAGCTAAACGTCCATAGAATTACAACGGCGTTTTATGTGTTTATGTTTATGATCAAGTTAAAGCCATTTTACTATATGATTTAGTTCATCGTATTTTAAATGGGTAAATCTAACATTAACATGGAGTGTATTGAAGAGCATCATGATGCTACTACTCCAGTCATCATTGTAAATAATCTTATCAATCAGGCACCGAAGACATGGAACTCTACCGAAGATGTAGGGAAACATTGTTATAGAAAAAACTTTCTTAGTAGTAGTTGCTGTTGGTTATTACTATATTTATTTATCATACTATTTGGATATGTATCCCCGACTCCTTTACGAGCTTCAGAAAAACATTATAGACAACTTCAAGCACATGGTTTGGTAAGTGGACTTTTAATATTTTTTTTAAAGTATTTTAATTAAAACCTATTTCAACGTTGAGCCTTTTAAAAAAAATATTATATATATGAACCATATATCTATTAGTAATAATTCAGATGATATAGATATTCGAAATATAGAAATCGATATGCTGTACGACTCGTGGACTACATACCTATATTTACACACTCGCTGTACTTAGTTCTGATGAGTAATATATCCACACACATACATACATACATACATACATACAGACATACGACTCTTTGAAGTACATAGCGATGAAGAGGGAAACAAAAGACGAATTTAATTTGTACTATCATCACTGATAAGCGTGCTATCTTTTATTTTATTTGTAAAATGAAAACGACCATACACTTATACCAAGATATATTTTTTTCGGAATGCCACGAACCGAAAGTTTACCAAGCTAATTCAGATAACATTTGATAGTTGTCAGACGGCTAATGATATTTTTGAGTGACACCTTTTTTTACCAAATTGACAGATTAAATAATAATCCATGTGTACTCACATGCATAAATGTACATTCATAGCACATTATTATTATCTAAATGTCATTGACGCAATTTTGATCGTGTTAATAACATAAACTGTTATGTCTTTGTTGAATATTTGGGTTTTCATTCTGCGATATACAGACTGTAATAGACCGTATTATAATATATAATGACAGGCCAAAATGTCAAACAGTCTGAATGAAATAAGGAGGCAGTGTTTTGTTTTCCTGGGTTATGTCCTAGTTTTACTTATAGTAGTATACATATCGCCGACTCGTGGCTTATAAATATAGCAGTGCAGTTATGGTGATATACAATACAATACAGTACATATATATAGGTTTTTTTTCTTATAGTAAAAGCATTAGTCAATCTAGGAAATGTGTTGTGCACATGTTGTATTTGTATATAGAATGTCAAATGCAATATATGTCTTGCCTTTTTGTCTTTATATATGGTTTATGTCCACAATACCGATTTCGTTCTTTCAAGTTGTGGGGGTGGTGTCATACAGCCCATTTGTCCTTTCGTATTTAGAGTTGCATGAATTTTAACGTTTATATGGCTAGTCTTATCAAAAAGCAAATCTACATCCGTTCGTTTTTTTTCTTTTATTTTTAATAAATCGCTAACGATGGTACATTGCCGTTCATCGTCCAGGCCTGCGCGTGCGCCATGATGACGGCGCTTTACGTAACGTGGCGACATTTTTACAGTCCATATTGTTTAAACGGTTAGCCTTTAATTACCAATAGACATTACCCAAATGACAAAACTGCGACTAATTAAATGAAATAAACTACAAGAAAACGCTTTGTTATATGTTTATAATTTTATATGATCTTTATTTGGGATATTTAATCTTTAGTTCACATAATTATTATATTTAGAAAGTCATTGAAATAATATGATGCGAATAATAAAATGATTTATTACGAAATTGGTTTAACCTCGGGGCAATTATTTTGAAAACAAAATATATCTTTTGAAGTATTTGAAAGTAATAAGCTGCTTATTACTGTAGACTAAAACCTGCATATTACCTTATATTGCCCGAAGACAAGAGCATATTTGAAAGTATGAGTAACTAACTAAATGTAATTAAATAAGACGAACTGACAAAACCTGTGGTATGCTGTTATCTCGTTTCAGGTTATCTTACTATTATATTGTGACTCTTATGTGAAAATTGGTCTATTAAATGTATTTCAACAATTTATACACATAAAGTCGCAAAATACATTTTGATCGAATATGCAAGTCTTTTTATTATCAAGTATCTATAGAAGACACACTAAAAGAATAAGGATATAGTTGGTGAAAATTTACCGCTTAATTGGTACCACGTTTCCAGGGCAATAGAAAGCAGAACCTTTATAATTATGTATTACGTTAGTGACAAAGAGGACACCTTTCAGGCATTTTAATTGTCATTATATTACATGGATTCATGATAAATTTTAATATTCCAAAAGTATACCCAGATACTTATTTATTATAGATTGTTCGGAGTCGACATACAATATTTATTCTATTTTCTATTTTTGGATAATATGTGTAAGTGACTGCTGAATAATGATGGCGCCGGTATCTTCGATTTTTTCCCCAGGCAATTAAAAAACATTGACGTGTGGCAATCAAGCAGCGACCTACTTCTGATAAAATTGCATAATTTACCTACTTTCTGTCAATTTAGTAGAATTACAAATCAAACCATGATGTTTGCAAATGCGCAGGTTTATATAATAGGATATCAAGGGTGGGCACCGGTGAGAGGCGGGGCGGGGTGGGGTCTGGGTGGTTTTCGGAATCTTTACGGCTAAAGATTTGAACATGGCCCAAGGCAGTGGTATATTCAATATTTACCAGTTCTGTGGGTGACTAACTGTTATTATCTTGTTTATATGCAATAATATGGAAATGACTATAAATATCACTGTAGCCATATGCAATTATGGCAACATTACCGGAATGCCCGTACCTAATTACGACAGTGATTCTAATTTCAAGACGCGCGCACCACGAAGCACTACGGCAATGAAAATAGATTCTGTCTTTTAATAAACCAAATTGGCTTTTTGCAAACACTAACGATTAATTGCTTTCTACAGATGATAAATTTTCTGTGTGCCAGCCACAATGTAACATATGTGCAGAATTGATCGATGCATTCAGTGTTGTGATTAGGGTTGTAAGTGTTTGATATATGTATAGTAAGTATAAATATAGTAAGTAATTCAACTGGCTTAGTGATCTACACATAGTTAGGGTTGTAGGTGTTTGATATATGTATGTATAAGCATATAGTAAGTAATTCAACTGGCTTATTGATCTACACATAGTTAAAATTCCTTTCTGTGTTACATGAGAATTTAGAAATTATAATGGTTTACCAAATATCGATATGTCTGTACCGTTAACTTTTATTGATTTTATATTAAAGTTTGATCATAGGTATTGAGGGAATGCAATAGTTTCAGGCAATAATATTTTAAAAGTTTTAGATCTGAAACCGGTATAGATACCACATAACTAAATATCAGGGTCTGACCTGGCTAAACTCAACGTAATGTAAAGTCAAATAAAATAAGAGCTGATTTAATTAGAGGCATATCAAATGAATTATGTAATTGGGACATTCTAACCGTAATTTGATAATTACATTACGAATGACTAAAAAATGCCAGATAAGGGATCGGCTCATAAATCTAGAAGATTATGCAAATATGTTACATTATAGCAAAGAATCCGAACCAACCCTTAAATTTGATAATTACAGATTGCTGTCTGTATTCTGTACCACGACCCTTTAATGGGATATTAGTTAAATGTGTCATTTTAGAAAGTGGTAAGGGATAGGTAAGGATTTTTGTGGTAGAAAGGCTTGTATTAACATTGCTCAAAGTAGGGTTGATCATAATGTAGTTCTGAGAGATTAAAGAAATATAATCCAATGGATGTCAATGATTTTTCTTCCTCTTTGTTAGTATAATTATAAGGTTCCACTTGATATCTTTTGAAATATGTGGGGATGACAATGACAGTGTGTCCTAAAATACATGTCTACACCTGCATTGTGATAACATGTAATGTTCAAAATTAACCCTTTCACAAACCCTTTTTGGGGGAAAGGGGGTGCATAAGACGTGCCACAGTATTATAAGGAAAGTACATGTATTAGACAAAGCAATATACGTCAATCAAAAATTGTTAATCACCCAAACAAAAGAAGTTGGTAGAACTCCAAAAGACTGCTTGCGAATATGACATAAGAATTATATTATAAGGTTATCGTGGTACGCAGGTACGAGTATGTCAGCTGTGCAACTGTTGCATATATGCTGCATCTGACCATGGATATAGCTGAGTAGTAGATTTTCGATAAAATGAATGAGCGAAAATCATGGCGAGGAATATTATGCTACACCCGCAATCCAAATATCAGGAATCCTGAATGCATAATTTGAAATGTCGCAGAATTTTTTAAAGTCTAATAATAAGGTGGCCTTTTCGCCGAGTAAAGGTTTAGGCATGTAACGTTGAACAATCTGAAACATTTCAAGTCCTGTTATTCGTCAGCTACATTGAAAGACCTGCTAATGCCACGAAATAGTGCCATACATAAATACAAAATAAAAACCAGCATCAAAGCCTTGTTTATTCCAAGTTAAAGGCTTTTTGGCATAATAATGGTAGTTATAATTACAAGAAAGATAAAGTTATGTTTTGTTTCCTGTGATCGATATTCAGACGTCTGACTATTTTTGAATACAACTTATTGACAGGAGACTCTGTAGAATCCACATGACCATGGATTTTAGACAGCTTGTATATTAAAGTAGATAAGGTCGTCTGCACGAGTCTGTGTTTAATATGGCTATATGAAGTGATAATGAGATCATTCCCCAGATCTGAACAGATGGACAGTGATTCATTTACATGTGTTTAAAATTGTGTTGACCCAGAGGTCAATTTAAGTTAGATCGTTTGAAGTCATAGTACTGTTTAATTGTACCCGGGCACTGATTTATCAGCGATGTACAAAGTCAAACACTTTACACCTTAATCAAAATAATCAAAAGTTCAAATGTCAAGTAAACAAGTCATATTTAAGAATTACTGAAGCCCCTGTCTCAACTCGACCTAGCAAGAGACACGATAAAATCGAGTACATTGTCGAGGGTTAATCGGGTAAGACTTTCCCTTCCGCCTAGTACAAATTCCAGGGTAATATTACTGCATATTGGTATCGTTGAGAGAGAGTATACACTGACTTAAGACCCAGCTATAATAATGTCGGAACCACTGGCTCAGTGAGTAAGACGTTGTCCCATGGCGGTTTGGATGGGACGACAAATGAGGTCACGTGTACACATTGACGTAGACGTAAAAGATCCCTTGACAGTTGGCCGTAGCGCCACTGTCCGTGCAAAATTTGCACGATAGCTCACCGCATGGCGTATGCTCGTCTTCATTGGC